TTTCAAATTGTTGTTGTTATGGTTCTCGGTGTAGCTGGAAATGTTTGGAAAGATACAGAAGCAAGGAAGGTTCGAGTCCTACCTAATCCGCATAAAATTTATGTCTATAATAAATCTTCTACCCTTGTTTTTGTATACTTGGGGCAGTTCTGAACTATATGAACTTGGTTGTTTTTTTCAGCAATGGTATGTGCAGTATCCAGAGGAAGCCCCATGGTATGAGCTGCTTGTAATCCCTTTGCGGTTTGAACTCCTATGTTCCATCATGATACCCATCTCCATTAAGGTATATTATATTTCATTCCTATTATATGTGGAATCTCCGGTAGCTCCCTTGCTAGCTCTGGAGTGACATAGAGAATGTATTAACGGAATTCTTGGCATGCGAAAGAAATATTGAATTGAAAATGAGGGCTTAGTGATCGTCTTTATGGAACAACACTGAACTTGATTCTTGAAGATAATGATATTATGATAAAATTAGCTTGCTGTTTCTGCTAAGCACCTGGTTGATGTAATGTGGCAGGTGTCTCTAGATCTTGTTAAGGGACTTTATGCAAAATTTATAGAATGGGATGTGGAAATGATAGATCAAGAGACTGGTACAGCATCTTATGCAGCAAAGTAAGTTCAGAGTAGAGGCAGACTACCTCAGGTTCACCTCTTTTGAACCAGTTAGTTTCATGATTTTTTGTTGCATTATGTGGCTTTTTGTGCATGGCAGCACAGCAATAAGCGAGGACCTTGGGCAAGTAGAGTACATTTTGACCGACAAAACTGGGACCCTGACAGACAACAAGATGATATTTAGAAGATGCTGTATTGGTGGTATATATTATGGGAATGAGAATGGAGATGCTTTAAAAGGTTTCAGACTTAACTTTATTTATGTACTCAGTCTTATGCTTTCCCAATGTGTCTATCATATTAATTTAGACATTATTTTAAGCATGTGCATCAGCGAGTATGAAACCTCTTGAACCTTTTAAGGAGTATTCTTTCTTACTTATCTTGATTTATCTTTCTGATCAGATGCACACCTTCTTAATGCCATCACCAGTGGCTCTACAGATGTTATCCGATTTCTTACAGTTATGGCCATCTGCAACACAGTTATACCTGTGCAGAGGTAAATTTTAACTTCTTAAAATCTTATACTTTTTCCAAGTTCTGCAAATTTTATCCCTTTAGTCTCGAAACTTCTTTCACTTATGATTTTTTGGGTTTCATCTGACAGTAAAGCTGGAGATATAGTTTATAAGGCGCAATCTCAGGATGAGGACGCTCTTGTAATTGCTGCTGCAAAGTTGCATATGGTCTTTGTCGGCAAAAATGCCAATCTTCTAGGTAATAGTCATCTGATTTCAGTTTTGCTCTCCATGGAATATGTACCTTGAAAGTAGTTATCATTTGTTTCTCCTCCGGTTTATTAAATGCAGAAATCAGATTTAATGGTTCGATACTTCGCTATGAGGTTCTGGAGATTCTTGAATTTACTTCAGATCGGAAAAGAATGTCAGTGGTAGTGAAAGATTGTCAGAACGGGAAAATTATACTTCTGTCTAAAGGTGCAGATGAAGCAATCCTTCCCAATGCATGTTCTGGTAAGTTAACCTATCTCTTGTCCATATGAGACGAGTAAGTAGTATTCAATGAATGTGCTCAGAGCTGATGGCCATTTATTAACCACTATGCTATAAGGTCAACAAACCCGAATTATTGGTGACGCCGTAGAACACTATTCCCAGCTGGGGCTCCGAACATTGTGTTTGGCTTGGCGTGAACTGGAAGAGAATGAGTATTTAGAGTGGTCAGTGAAGTTTAAAGAGGCTAGTAGTCTTCTGGTTGATAGGGAGGTAATTGAAACAGTCCTCTCTTTCTGTTGTTCACTATAAGCGAGTATGAAGTATGAGTAGTTTGAACCTACAGCTTAACTGGCTAAGTCGAGGCATTTGAAAACATGACGTTTTTCTCATGTCACAGTGGAGAATTGCTGAGGTCTGTCAAAGGTTAGAACATGATCTTTATATCCTAGGGGTCACTGCAATAGAAGACCGCTTGCAGGTAAAATTTTAAATGTCCAAGACATAGTGATTCACAATGTAATCCTATATAGGAGAGGACTCTGTCTTATATATAATTTTCTTATCTATTTAGGATGGTGTACCAGAGACAATTGAGACACTTAGAAAAGCAGGGATAAACTTTTGGATGCTGACCGGAGATAAGCAGAATACAGCTATACAGATTGCTCTTTCATGTAATTTTATCTCTCCAGGTTAGTTGGGATAATTTCCCCGTCTTTGTTATTTGTGTTAGAAAGCTTTGCCTATTGCTACTTATCATTCTTTTCTACATAATCCTGTTTATATCAGAGCCTAAAGGTCAACTTCTGATGATTGATGGAAAAACTGAAGAAGATGTTTCTCGAAGTTTGGAGAGGGTTCTGCTTACAATGCGGATTACAGCTTCGGAACCTAAGGTTCACCTTTTAAGCTAAATTCTTGAACTTATCCTTGGAACAATTTCCTATCATCAGAGAATAAAGTTATGTGTCGTACAGGACGTGGCATTTGTTATTGATGGCTGGGCTCTAGAAATTGCTCTGAAACACCATCACAAGGATTTTGTTGAATTAGCTATACTTTCTAGGACAGCCATATGTTGTCGCGTAACACCTTCACAAAAAGCCCAGGTAACCCACCCAATATTAGGTGCTGCTTTCTCTAATTTATCTAAGTATTCAACATTTCCCTTACCAAGGGGATTTTCAATGCTAATCTTATTTGGTGTTTTAGTTTAACTTTTTTTACAACTCTACAGTTGGTTGAAATTTTAAAATCCTGCGATTATCGAACCCTTGCAATTGGTGACGGTGGGAATGATGTAAGAATGATACAGCAAGCTGATATTGGGGTCGGCATCAGCGGAAGAGAAGGGCTGCAGGCAGCAAGAGCTGCAGATTATAGTATTGGAAGTAAGAGCATTAGCATGATACTTTTCCATAATAGTAGCTTGAAGATATGATATCATGTACATATTTTCTATATACCATCATATCTATGCTTCTGGATTGTGTTGCATGGATTAATTGTTTTAAACGGTTGAAACAGTTTCTGATTGGTTCTTGATGGACTACTATTTGATCACAGGATTCAGATTTCTCAAAAGACTGATTCTTGTTCATGGGAGGTATTCATATAACCGGACAGCGTTTTTGTCCCAGTATTCCTTCTACAAATCATTGCTGATATGCTTCATCCAGATTTTGTAAGTTTATTATCTCAGATATTTTGACCAGTAATTAGCATCCATGTTGTTACTGAATTACTGACAAAAGAATGTATGTAGCTTCTCGTTTATTTCAGGCGTTTCTGGAACTAGTCTTTTCAATTCAGTGAGTTTGATGGCATATAACGTTTTCTACACCAGTATTCCTGTTCTTGTTAGCGTAATTGATAAAGATCTTAGTGAAGCATCAGTGATGCAACACCCTCAAATTTTGTTTTACTGCCAAGCTGGAAGGTATGCTTGATTAATCGTGTCTAAATCTGGTTTTACTAAATCTGAAGGTAACTGTATGTACGTTCATGCATATTTGTTAAGTTCATCTTATTTTTGAACTACTCAGGCTTCTAAACCCAAGCACATTTGCTGGGTGGTTTGGCCGATCCCTTTTTCACGTGAGTACTCTCTTCTCAAATCTATTCAATTGAGTTCATTTTCTTCACTACTTCAAAAGTCTAGAACCACTACTTAATAAAGTACAATAGTATGCAAACTCCACACACCTAGTTGAAATGCCTATAGTAACTTTTTCTTTTCTTCTTTCTTTCTTTTTGTTCATCTTCCCTTTATATAAATTTGAATTCTTGTATGTATTTGCAGGCAATTGTTGTATTTGTTATAACCATACACGCATATGCTTATGAGAAAAGTGAAATGGAGGAGCTTGGAATGGTGGCTCTCTCTGGATGTATATGGCTTCAAGCTTTTGTTGTGGCTCAAGAAACCAAGTACAGCTCCCTTCTCCTTGCGGCTACACACATATAGACTCATACATCACATTTAAATGTGCATGTTCATAACACAAACACCCATGTTTAGTGCTTATTCTCACAATTTTTATTTTCTGGCTGTTCGTTGCAGTTCCTTTACGGTGTTGCAACACCTTTCCATTTGGGGAAATTTGGTTGGTTTCTACGCGATAAACTGTCTCTTCAGCGCCATACCATCATCTGGAATGTACACCATCATGTTCCGCCTCTGTTCTCAACCTTCTTACTGGATAACAATGTTTGTGAGTATCAAATCAAAGTCATCTCCTAGCACCTATCTATAAATCTCCTTTACAAAACACCAAAGAAGAATATAACATTGTTTCTTTCTCCTATGCAGCTCATAGTTGGAGCAGGCATGGGTCCAATTTTCGCATTGAAGTACTACCGCTATACATACAGACCCAGCAAGATTAATATACTCCAGCAAGCTGAACGAACTGGCGGTCCAATACTGACTCTAGGAAACATCGAACCTCAACCGAGGACCATTGAGAAGGAAGTACCTCCACTATCCATAATCCAGCCGAAGAACAGAAGCCCGGTTTATGAGCCTCTGTTATCAGATTCTCCAAACGCAACACGGCGCTCATTTGGCCCTGGAACTCCATTCGAGTTTTTCCAATCACAGTCAAGACTGTCATCATCCTCTGGTTATACCAGAAACTGCAAAGACAACTAAAACATTGAATTCTTTCTTTTCCTCCAATTTTTACAGTTACGGTGACCTTTGTGACTCTTCTGATCTCAACGGTAAAATGCAGTCCAAGTCGCGGGTATAAACCAGAATTGGTAAAGCATAAAAAGAAAGAAATGGACAAAAAAATGAAACAGTTGTATATAAGACTACTTTACTGAATCTTGCATATTGAGAAGTAGTCTATGATTCATACGAGGCTTACAAGCCACGAAAACACGTTGTCTTAGTCTGCAAAATTGATCTAAATATAGATCTTATTTTATAAGATTTATGCGATGCCAAAATGGAATTCGTCTGCAACAGTATCTGAAGAGAACAAATGAATACTTACTATTATATAACTCATGTGGTGTTACAATCTTGATCTACGTATAAACCTCATCCCCGGATTCCGCCTAGGCCGCCTGGTTTCCGACAGCTTTAAATCCCAATCCTCGACATTCTTCGGAATATAAACATCAAATAAGATTTGGCCAAGAACACCACTGGGTTTAACTGTATCATCAGTCTGAGTATTGGACAAACGAATCATATCTTGTTTCTGTTCATCATGGACAGACCCTCCTCCGTTGCCCACATAGTAACCTACGGTGCTAGGCACGAAGAAATGATCGGTTGTGACAAGTGGAGTTCCGTTGAAACTTCGGTTAAGACCAGAGGTTGATTGCCCCAAGCTTTGAATTGGCTCTGTTATCTCATGAGTTTCTTTCATAGTTTCTCTGTCAAGACTTCTTGTCTTCTGCAAATAAACTGATGCTGCTTTTGGCAAGAACTCGGATACAGCAGCTTTATAGTCGACCTGGTTATAACGATAATGACCTGAAAGCATTATGCATGAATTAAGGATCTGAACTTATATTGGAGAGAAAAAACATTACAAAGTGTTAGTGTATACTAACCACAATGAGGGGAATCATTCCATTTTACAAGTTTTACATTTCCTCCTAGTTCTTGGAGACGTGTAGCGAAATTGTGTATCGTTTGATAAGGAGCTAGGTCATCGTTCTCAGAGCATAGAATGAGATAAGGTACTCTCATATTCTGCAGCAGAATGGAATGAGATGAGAGTTAAAACCAAAACCAAAATCAAAGTCAAGAACATGTTTAGCATTTCATAGTATGTAAAAAAGGCTTCTTACTGTAGTAGAGTAAAGAGTCTGCCAGAACTCGGCTCTCTGTGATTCAAACCTGTTGAGGAAAACATAGTCGAGACTCGAAGCAATACCATTCGCTGCCCATACAAACGGTTTAGGCGGATTAGACATTTTGAGCGTAGTTGGATGAACCGCTAATCTAGCTCCCAAGTCGCTTGTGAAATCCACAGGACATGAGTCATAGATAAAGCCTGAGATGCAGTTTCTAACCAATCTACAATCATCCTGAGATAAACCAAAACCCCATTAACCTAAGATTCATCTTTATAAAGACGGTCTTTTAATCATTAACAAGAACGCAAACAACAACGACATACTTGATTTAGTCTAGTTTCACATGTTCCTTCAAGTATCTGCAATAAGAAAGGATCTTGATCATGTACTCAATTTCCATTCTCTGAAGACATCAAATATTGAGCAAAATGGTGAAAAAACAAAACCTTACTTGAAGAACTTTATACATACAAGCATTAGGACCACCTGAGAAAGAAGCAAAAACTAAAGGAACTGGCTTTGCTTTGAGCTCCTACAATACATCATGAACCAAATAAGCTTCTTAAATCAATTAGATCAACCAAAGTTTCAACCTTTCTTACCTTCACAAGTTCAGACACAACATTAGAAGCTAAATCCGCAGCTTTGTCTGGAAGAAACCTATTATTATACACAATCAAGATTGAATCAAGAAGAATCCCAATTGTGAAACCAGACAGAGAGAGAGAGTAAAGAGATCAAACATGTTGAGAAATTGAGAATGGCAAACGAGGGAATCGCAAAGAAGAGAAGAGTAGAGATCGACATGGTTCTTGAGATTGCGTTCTTCACTAGACATCCAAGCGAATACAACAACGATCGCTTCGCTTTCTCTTCCTCCTCCGTTGTTGTTGTTCCTCTTTCGCCAGTAGTAGTTTCCTCCAATTCCCCACATCGTCTCTGTAAATTTCTAAGTTTCTGGAGAAGAAGATGAAGAAGAAGAAATCTTCAATTGAGGTTTGACATAATAATAATGGAAGGCACAAGCTTCAAGCAGAGAGACGTAGAGGAACAAGATAGAACAGATCACTATCGTTATCTTTTGCCTTAAATTATTACTATTTATTTATTTAAGTAATGACGACCAGCATAAATTAATTAATTTTTTTTTTGTTTAACTTATAAGCTAAAATAGAACACTTGTGCTTTAAAAGGGGTAACATTACATATCATACAATTTTTGGTATTTAAAATAAATCATAGTAGAGGTTAATGTGGTAAAAATAAGCAATTAATTTATTGATAATATAATACAACAAATTTTTTATTATTTTAATTTAAAAACTAACTAACCTTTTTTAGTTTACAAAATAATTAATTATGATTTTTAGTTTTATCTTTAGTTTAGTTTTGAAATTGAAAACTAAGCATCAATCCTAAAAGATATATAAAATAAATTTGTATTGAATAATGAATATGTTGGTTAACTAGACAATTTGAAACATATGTAATATTAAGAAATAAGAAAATTTGACTATATAGTATAAATTAATTACAATTATATGGAAGATTTTGTGGTCGGTGAATTTGGCGTGTTATAGCACCTTTTAGAATGGATATCTAAAGCTAAAATAAAATAATTAAAATTTGAGAAACAGATTTTCGGTGGAAATTTTATGAAAAATGATTTTTAAATAGATATATAACCGTTAGTCTTATGTGATTAGTTAACTTTCTCATACATTTTATATAATTAAATACATACTAGAAATACTTCTCATACATTTTATATTTTTATATAGTAGATATACAGAATTTAATCATAACATTAGATGCTTTCGAAATCAACAAAAATAACCATAGAAGAGAAGTCCCAACTTATTCAATGTTTAAAAGGAAACTTCAAGCAAAAACAAAAGAAAATTTTAAGTTAGTATAAAACCCCAAAACAAATATTACTAAAGTGATTGATTATGTGAAAGAGATGTAGATGAGTATCAAATGTTGTAAAATGTTTGTTTTCCAAATCAGTTGTTGTATTCATGACTTAAGCGAAGATCGATCAACGTACTTTTGATTACAAGAATGAAAAGTAAAGCGGTTAATGATACTACCAAATTGTAATAGTTAGTTAATTTAGTAGAAATGTTATAATCAATGACAAAGTTGTATGCAAGGACGTTATGAAAGATCGGAAAACAACAATGTGCACATTCAAATGGGGAAAGAAGATACGAAAAATCAAGAGCATAAGATGAAAGAATTATATGAATTTGTAATTAGATTAAACCTCTAGATTAACATTTGCTGCCAAAATTGTAATTACATTGTGCATTTTGTGCACCAAAATAACCAGAAATGTGATGAAGTGTAAGAAATCATATTATAAGATTATATACTTTTTGATCATGGTTGTACTTACACATCAAACTTTCTACCTAAGATGCATTATTAATATTGGTTCCTGTTAAATATGTGACCGTAAGTTTAAACAAATACTATTCATTATATGTATTCAATGAAATATGTTTTCAATATTTCAGCAAAAATCTTCCAACATAAATCCAATGAATTTTTGCAACGTACATATTTGTCGAATTATTTTTCAGATTTATACGAAAATTTGACTAATTTATTATGGAACCCATATATATAGTTGAAATTTTTATCCATTGGGAACTTGATTCCCAACAAATCTCATTTTGTCTGAAATGACCATATTTAATTGTAGTGCGATGGATGGAGTAGAACACCACTTGTTCTGGATATATTGCTTAAATGAACTATTTAACGCTTCATTTGTTCCTTATAAATTGGTGTTTTATAGTTTTTACAAATATTAGAAAATAATTAATATTTAAATATACATATACTATTGTTGCACACAAAAACTTTTTCTTATAACAACTAACCAGTACAAAATCTAGTAAATTCATCTCTCCAATTAATATTTTTCGGAATCTACAATAATGCATTACAAGTTTAGATCATCATTTGTGTGAAATTTAAAATAAAATAAAAAAAATCTAAAACATCAGTTTATATATAAAGAACAAAAGGAATATTTCGGTGTGGATGTATTGATATTTGTTGTCTCATGAATACTATGAAATCATTTATGTTCTTGAGTGTGGACGATGTCACATATATAGGAAACGTTGGTTATGAGTGTCCAAAGGGTTCATTGCAAGATAAGAAGCATATACAAATAATCGAATTGGATTGTTCGTTTGTTTTGGAACAATGTTTTCTATCCTTTTGTGTTTTAATATATATCTTTTTTTGAATTGAATGTAATATTTATTCAAACCAAAAAAAAAAAAATGTTGTACAATGATTTGTGACATTTTAGTTGAGACTAACTTAGCGATTGAATTATAGATACGAGACACTATTTGCAAAAAAGAAAAAAAGACACAGATAAGAACATAGCATTGTTCGTAGGAGAGCTAAGGTGGTCGAGTGGCAAACCACATCGCTAGTAAAAAAAAATCTCATACTTGGCTATTCGTGGCTATAACGTGGTACCTTAAAAAATTCGTGGTTTTTTTTTTTAAATCGCCTTGTAACCACAAATTTTCGCGACTGCCAAATGGCTATATGTATAAACACACAAATTGGGTGACATAGATACCAACCGTGTAAATAAATTCATGTTGTCACCAGGATTCAACTCCAAACAGTTGTGTTACCTTGCGTAAATGGTAAGGTTTTGGCAATGATTTGATCTTTGTACGATCCAAGTGTCGACAACAAAAAATGTGTAATGTTGAGAAAAGTTCACTTTAAATATATATATTGCAACGTAAGAAATGGAGACATGGGTGACATAAGTGCAAAAACTTAATGTTGGTATTGTGGATGAAACCATCGATGGATACTTGGAATTACTTATACTGAAATATAACGATCTTTGGAACGTACGTTAATTATCTACCACCATCACATAACTAGTATAGGATGAACAGGGTTGGATAGCTTTCCAAAAACCATGAAGCTAATGAATTATTGGATTTGTCAAAAGCTGAAAACACTTGATGGATATCAAGAAGATAAATAGGAGACACCTACTCTTGCGTGGGACAGATCATACATCAAGTATATATATCAACACTCCATTAGATCGAAAAAGTAGTAACTACATTAGAAAGACAAGACTTAGTAACCAAAATCACATATGTTTCCCGCAAAGCAGTGGTCCAGTGGTAAGAAAAAATTGGGGAAAGGTTGGAAGAAATTAACCTAGGTTCGATTCACTCTGGAAACAAAAATCATTGTTGTGTGGGAAGTCTGTCAGTTGGGCCTTGGCCCAATTGCTTTACCTGGTAGTCAGAAATGCAGACGGCCTGACTACCCCGTGGCATTAGTCGGAAAGCATTCCAAACTCGGGATAGACAGTGTGGTGGCCCTTTGAGGAGAAATCCACTCTAAAGCATTTCAGTGCGTTTCTATCGGGGCTGATCGGATCAGCCGATAGGATTTATCAAAAAAAAAAAAAATCACATATGTTAAAATTCTCCTTAGAGCATCATTATTGGTAGGCTTTTAGTAAAATCTTAGGCTAAAAAAAGTTAAGAAAAGATGAAAGAAGAGATTCTACAAGAGACATATTAACTTTTCTTAAATTTTCATCACTTTTTCTTAGCGTAAGAAGTTTTTAAAAACCCCTTGATAATCATGGTCTTATATGGCTTGGCTAGCTCTCCAATCTTAGGAAAAATAGAGAGGACTAAATTAACCCTTATATGATAAAAAGGTGGAGATCTACTAAAAGTCAATTCTAATATTTTTGTTAGTTTTCTACTCTCTTCCCATTATATGAGTCATCAATCGTACGTGGTCCTCACACTCACATCTCAAAGAGTGAACACTCCAAAAGAAAAATCAAGAAAAAAGATAGCAAAGTTAAGTACATGCATGCACCAAACTCTTCAACAAGAAGTTATAAAATGGTTAGAGTTCCATGTACCACAATATTTAAATCCAAGCTTATTATAGGGTCCATTTTTATGGTGTTGTATATTGCCCCACACAGTCCTTTCTCCCAAAAACATATGTAAACGATTCATCTAATGTTATGATAGTGAGATCTGTCTCCAAGAGGAGACATCTAAAGGACTCATCGACCCATCGAGATGAGAAATGGGAACTAAGTATTGGTGGGTCATGCGGTCCACGTGACACCTACACACCCCGACACACTTAACTTTTGTACATTTGCTATTATGTTTATCTATTTATGTATATACATGATGCACATGATCACATGTACATATGTAATGTAGAATATATCATAATCTATATACATGAGTAATGAAGAAAACACCTCTACGCATAAACAGCTGTCGTCCGGATAAGTATGTCTCCTAGGAAACAAAGTGCTCTCGTAGTCGGGGGAAATATATAATCAAATCATTTCCTTAAAACTATAGTGTCAAAAAGATTTTAAGATTTTGTATGTGAATAGTATATTTGCTTCACAATCAACCAGCGAAACCTAACAGTAACGTTATTCTCCAACTATATATAAACTCGACTCGAGCGACACATAATGTTACGTTGAGATGAACCGATGAAAGTCATTTTTCTTGTAACAATGAAGCATTATGGACACTAATAAAGAAGAATTAGAGATATAATTACAATATAATTTTTTATTAAACAGAATATTTCGAAGTAAAACATTACATAGGAATGTGATCCCAATATTGTAAATATTACAAGTTCCAAGAGATCAAATTATATAACAATAGAAGTTTTACATATGGACTCTTATTTAATTAACAAAAGAAGAAAGTAAAAATATTTTTAAAGCACGACATAGTACAGAGACTCTTTAATTAGCTCTCATGAAAAAAATTCGTAAAAGTTATAACAATATTTAATAAACAATGTACCACGACGGAGCTCCACCGCCGTATAATTCTTGCCGTCAGGTTTAGTTCACCGTTGACGTCACATTGTTCATGTCAAAAGATCGTTCACCCATCCGAGATCAAGATCACTACTAGAACCAACTTCGAAGCTAGTCTTATATTTAGCTTCGGCCGCCGCAGATGCAGCCGCCGTGAAATCGCTTACCCGGCCACCGCGTGGTGTGAAGTCATCGCTGAAGAAGCTTGATAACGGTGGCTGAAGCTGGCTGTGGAGGTAACTTGGTGTAGAAGAAGGTGAATGAGAAAATTGTAGAGGACTAGTTTGTTGTATTTGGAGATCTCTGTCTCCGACGTCAAGCCACGGCGGAATACGGTGGTTGGATAGATTCGCTGAGGCAATCATCGCCGCCGTGGAAACTGGCATGGTACCCGGAGACGACGACGAGGAAGATGCGAGAGCTTCCGTGAGACTAAAGGAATCTAAAGAACTAATCAACTCGTTAAGCACGGCGGTGCGACGGCGGCTCAGCCGTGAAAACGCAGCGGCTTTATCAGCCGGAGATAACGGCGGAGACGAAGACGGTGATCTTGATAAACCCAAAAGAGTGCTCGTCGGAGAGTGGGAACAAAACAAGCAACAACGGTTATTTTTATGACCTAACACCGAGGCAGGAGACGACGAGGCTGATCCACCGGAGATAAAATTCTCCGGCGGCGACGGAGGAAGAACCCTAAGCTGACGTGGAGAATGAGCAAAGAAACAAACTTTTCTCTTACAATGCTTACCGTCTTTACAAGCTTCGGTTCGGTAACGACTAGGATGAAGCCAACACTCGAAAACGCCATGCGAAAACACACATTCGTCGCCACGGCTACAATCACCGCCGTGCCGACTAAACTCAGGGCAAACCTCGCCGGTGTAATGAAACCGGCGAGGGTCACGACGGCGAGCTTTCTCACCAGGATGAGAGAAAGGACAGTCAGTCCAATCATGGCTACGGCTACGAGTGCACCGTCGGATCTTGAATTCGTACATACGAAAATGGTCGCCGGCGTAAGGATCTTCCGAGTCAGAGTCGTAAGAATAGTCTTGAAGAGGACTCGACGACGGAGACTTGGCGGAGGAAAGAAGCTTTCTCGGTGAGATATCCACCGTTGGTCTATTGATGTGGCCGACGTCCATGTCTACGTGGCGAAAGATGAGAGATATATAAATTTGTATTTTGTTTTGTGTGCTTTGTTTTGGTTTTGGAAGAGAGAAAGAGAGATAAGTGTGTGGGATAAAATGATAGATGCCTAATTGTCTCTATATATATACAAAAATATGGAATGGTTAGAGAAATAGTTTTATAGTTGACAAGAGAAAAAATATCAAGAGGTTTCATTATATTTTTGGACGTGGTTACATTCGTTTTATGGGATATTTTGCTTAAAATACACAAAAATAAGAGTATAAAAATCTTTCCATACTTTTGAAAAAATAAATGTAGGGTAAAATCAAGAATCATATATTTGAATATACAAATTACAAAATAAGTGAGATAGTTACATATATGAAAAACAAAAACAAAATTGAATATATTAAAAATATATCGGAAAAGAGAAAGTTAATGATATTTAATTTAGTTGGTGCACAAAAAAATACACTCCCTCTATTTTACAAAAACTGTCATTTTGACATATTTCAAAAAAATTAAAAAGAAAACACATTAAATTATTATATATATTATTTAATAATTATTTAATAATTTAATTAGTTTTAGATTAAGGATAAAATTAGGAAATTTAGTAAAACATGCATTAAAATGTAAACTGACATTTTTTGTGAAACAAAAACAAAACTCTAGAATAACATTTTTTTATGAAACAGAGGAATTAATTTAGTTTTATCTCTCTAATTATAATAAAATATACCTCATTAGCTATTTAGCTCATATTTCTATATTTATTTTGGGCAAAAGTTCATATGTCTAATATATTTGTCTTTTTTCCTTAAAGTAAATTTGAAACAATTGTTAACATTATATAAAATTAATATGTTTAATACTAGTATTTGGCTATTTGCAAATTCAAAGAAAAGGAAAAAAAAAACACTTGATGTAACAAATGTTTTTAATGAATAAATTACATTCATTTAAAATAGTAAATGGTAAGGTCATTCTTGTGTAAATGATTAGTAATAAATAATAAACTTAATCAAAGAAAAAGAGCAAAAAGAGATGATGATGTGTAGAGTAAAGAAGGAGACAAAAGAGAAGAGTTCGTGGCAAGAGAACATTAAAGATAGGTTTCATGCAATTGAGTAGGAGCTGGCCTTCTCTTACGGCTATCGAGTCACTTTGTTTTCTTTGAAATACTTTCATACTATTTTTTTAGGTTTTGCATATTTACATATGCATGTGTGTGTGTTATCTTAATATTCTCGATGACTCGATCTAATAACAATTAAAGTATAGTTTTATAGTCAAGATTCTGATCGATAGTTCTAGAGGAAACTTTGCAACACAGAAACGCACGTACATGATTAATTATAGCACTAAATATAGATTTCCAACATTATTAAAACATACCATATTATATATATAACACTATAAATAGTTTTATGTGATATGTTGACAAGTCTCGATCATTACGTGGCTAGCTCGCATGTAGTTTCTTCTTAAAGAGACTCGATTCTGTGTGCAAGTTTTCAAAATTTATTTTATACATTTTAAATACAATTTCTTTTATATCAAATTTATATTATAAAATTAGTACGAAATTTTCCGAAAACAATAGAGAAATTCTCTTACATAGCATGTTTTAAAGTGTTTTTTTCAAACATGCTATCATTTTTTTTTCAAAAAATACTATAAAAGTTTTATTTTTCCAAAAATACCATAAACATAAAAAGTTGAATTTTGCAGATGTAATTATATATATATATATATATATTTGGGTTGACTATTTACATTTAGGGTATAGTTTTTAGGGGTGAGGTCTAAGTGTTTAGGATTTAAAAATTAGTTTTGAATGTTAAAATTTTAAGTTTTAGTTTTGTGGTATTTTTGAAAAAAATTGTAATTTAATGGTATAATGGTATTTTTGGAAAAAAAAAATATCTATTTTGTGGTATCGAAAAGAATTCCCCAAAACAATATGTATTTTTTTTTGTTAGAAAATTAATTTTTTGAAATATATCGAGTATGACACCAAGACTAGATTCAACTTTTTAAAAATTTGGATGCCACATTCTCTAAACCAAAATACTCAAAAGCTGATAAAATTTTGGACCGGCCAAAACCAATATAGACAAAACCAAAATTGAATACACACTCATATCATACACATACTAGAATCGTTTTTGTTGAATCCTCCGACAACCACCTCAAGACTTAAACCCTGCATAAATATTCACCAAACACACGATATTATTATTAATAATGGTTTCGACTATATAATATATACACATCTACACAACTAGTTGAGTTCATAATTCTAATATGTTTTTATAACGAGGATCATATATTGACTTGAACTCAAACTAATCTCTCAAAACATATAAAGAATCAAATATTTTTCCCATTTTTAAACTAAATAATAATGTTTATATAACTATATATACACTTACTTGGAGCAATCCATGCTAGAGGAGATAGGGAAACTGAGATGAGTGTTGCAAAGAAGAGGAAGCTGTTGGATCTTATCAGCCAACATAGGAGGAGTGTAACCTCTCGTCATGATCTCAACACAATTACACAAAAGCCTCGGATTCTCTTTTTTGTGGTTCGCAATTACGTTGAGTTTTGCGATATGGACACAACATTTTTTACCGGGTTTGTAGTAATATCCCGTGAGAAAGTCTAGACAATAAGCAAAATAATCGTATGTGTATGCACAAAATGGTACGTAGGAGTGGACCTGAATCAGTAGCCTAGTGTGGTCGGAGATCACGAGAAGTAGTAGTAGTGATATCACGACTAATCTAGTCGTGTGTGTATTCATTTTTCTAGACGTTGATTTGATGACAGAGTGAGACAAACTCTTTAGACAAGTTTGATACATGAGGAGGATTTGTGTATATAGTTTGTAGTATTAGTCATGTTTATTTCATGAGTTGTTTTTGGTTTTGTTGATGGTTGGGTCATCATATACGTATATTACCAATGAAAACAATACAAATCGAATGAGCTTATTAGCTTATTTGTAAATGGAAAGTAATTTTCACAAACACTGGTTACGGTAAACCTTAATATTTAATAGTTTATTTCATCATCGGTCATTTTTTGAAGGGATCTTAAAATATTTTAATGAAATAAATAGAAAAAGAAGGAGAGAAAATGATGAAAGTGTCTTTAATTTGATTGGTTTTAATCAATTAATTTAATTAACTCATAAATAATAATAAAAATAATATATATATATATATATTATTTTTTTTTTTAAATTGAAACACCACAAAAATGTTAGTTTGGCCAATATCTATATGTAAATGATATTTTAGTACTCGTAATATTTTCATGTGAATCTTTATTTATTTAATATTTGTGAGGAGCAAAACTTTGTCCTACCATTATTAAATGTATAAATTTTGTCGTTGTTTAAAAGTTTGTTTATATAGAATATAATTTTTTTTATATTTTTTTCTTTCTATTTAGATAAATTTCTTATGTTGACGATGATTTGATTTTTTTTGTATGTATTTATATTGAGGTAGGATTCGAAGTGCCTTTAGGAAACTTACATGTTCTAGTAAGCATGAGTGATAAACACCGGAAAAACTTCTAAGAAATAACTCATAAGTTTGTGTAAATGAAGTGTTTTCTCTTGGATGTGCTTTTTTATTTATTTATTATATCTCAAAATCAACGTTTCATATAATATCAGCATTTTAACAAATATTTACAATAAAAATGTAAATTTTATTGGAATAGTTCTTGAAACTCATTATCTCATCTAAGAGTTGATGCAAATATCATAGATTGCGGTGTTGTTATCCTTTCTTCTTGTTTAGTGATTTCAAATAACTCGTCAAACCCACAAAATCTCTAATTATATGATTCAGCTTTTGCTTAGTGCAAAAACGGTGTTTTCCATCCATTTTTTTTTAGATATTATTAGAGTCGGCACTAAGGTCAAGCAAAATAATTTGGAGGTTGCGATCTTGAATTCCTTATGTATTTAATCAACCGTTTTTTTATTATTGTTTGAATATCTTAGTTATAATTATCGAGGTTTTGATTAATTTAGCTTCAAAATAGGCGAGTTTCCCACGCATTAAATAATTCGATAAATCAAAAACATCAAAAAATAGTAAAACCAAAGTAATGAGAATAACTAATGAGATACAAGTTAATTAATTTATGGTGACTTCTTCACACACAAATACAAGCAAGGGTTTTAAGCATCACAACACTTATTCTCATTACTTTAGTTTTACTATTTTTTTTATTATTAAAATATTTTGTAATTCAGCGGTTTAGCTCCCATTATATATATTCGGCAGGTCTCCCGTTCGACTTCCCATTCTTAAGGCAGCACATTAAGAAATGTTTTGGAGTACTTTATTAAAACTTCCATTTATGATGCTCTCAAGTACTCATAATCATCTCTAAAAATTGCAAGACGTGAGCTCAATTCGTATCATATATCTTAAAACACAAATATTGCTTTTAATATTTTTATATTGTTTGGTAACTCTTCTGTCATGTCTTTGAGAGCAACAATGAATCAACTTTTTTTAGAAAAAAATATTATCTTATTTAGTAACTAAATTATATATCTACAAAAGATGGCATTTCTCTAATGTTTTTTCAGACTATGTTCATATTACTGACGACTATAAATAAAATTAGAGGAATTCCTTTAAATACCATCATTTTGGTTTTCTTTCCAAAAATACTACTAAAATCAAATTATTCTTCAATGGTATGAAATTTTAAATCTTTGGTTTGGGTTGATTATTTGCAATTTAGGGTATAGTATTTAGGAGGTAGGGTTTAATGTTTAGAATTTAGAATTTAGAGTTTGAAATTTTAAAATTTAATTTTAATTTTGTGGTATTTTTGTCCTAAAAACAAAAATGATGGTATTTTAGAGAATGACCCATAAAATCATCACATTCTAATCAAATTGATATAAATTATAGAAATATATATTATTTTTTTATCAGCCAAAAACGAATTTGTTTTTAGCACAATATGTAATATAGTACTTTATATACGACTCCGTAATAACATGTGTATTTTATGTTATTGACAAAGAATAGTAATGTCTACCACTTTTGTTACCAAGCATTACTCAATAGTCAATACTATGCATACGCTTGATTTGTTTGTACAATTTTTGGTGTGGCAAAATGAAATGCAATTGAAGTTGATTTGAACGACACCGTTTAGTAGACTTGAAACGACAGTGTTTTACACCGTGTAGTAGACTTGAAACGACACTGTTTCAAACGATCACTTCTACTAAAACAAAATAAGCCAAAATAAAACAAAGAAGAAATATATAAACTGGCCGTTGAGACTTTTTCGGTTTCCTTCATTCAAAAAGTTTCTTCAGCTTCTTAATCTCTAGTTTTAATTTGCTCTCTGTAGGCTTAAGAATCATCTTGAACAAGTAGCTTTTGTCTCGAGCTTGAAAAACAAGGAAGATGAATGCTTTTGTCTCGAGGGCTTTCTATTATTTTCTTGAAAAGTTATCTTCAGTTAGATTTCAGGACAATGCTGTTTTTTCATTGTCCAGAACCAATCTAGGCCGATGACACTGACAAGGCCGAAGGCCTCAGAGCTTGTGACATCTCAGAGAATTTGTCTTGTGAGACTAACAAGGCACTTCAAAGCTTAAAGCGCGACCTTTCAATAAGGGTAACGCGTGGCTTTCCCTCTATGTTTCTCTATATTCAATTGACTTCAGAAACAACAGAGCTGCAGAGAAATGAGAAAACTGAAAACTAACCATGCTTTTCCTATCTGTTTGACACAGATTTTGGCAGCTCCAGCTTTGCTTGCACCACAAAGAAGTACACAACATCCTCCAGATTTCAGGTAAACCACATTGAAGAGACTGTTTATACATGGCACAATTCTAAATGTTGCAGGAGTTTCATCTTGAAACAATGGCACGGGCATGCTAGTTAGCCTTTCAAGATCTTCATTTATTTCATATATCTTCATTCAGATTTATAGCTCAACTATTCCAGATATTTGAAAGTAAAGGAGAGATGGGAACATTTTGCATACCTGAAGACCAATGAGAGTATCTTGCGGCCTAATTCTGTTTTAGATCAATCCGACCAGGTACTTTGACATAGGCCTTTCAGCTTCTTTGAAATTTCAGTGTCTTAACATAGCATTTTCTAGGCAGCTCTCTTTGAACTCTGGTTCTTGCTGTGTAAACTGTCGAGCATCTACAAAGAAACACTACACCATTATTTTTGAGCTCAAAAGTTGCTACAATAAGGAAATTTGCTGAAAGATCTTTGATATGATTAAATCCAGGAACGAGCTGCTAAGAGAAAGAAGAATTTTGTGAGAGAATTCATACATAAGCAGATAGAGGATGAGAGGGTCAGAAATCCCAAAGCAATCCCATATCCCTACACAATCTACTATCCCGTGGTATATATCCAAAGCTCCTTTTCATTCCAAGTAAGTCAGTTTTTCGTTGCCAAAGAAAAGTCGACAATTGTCAACGTTCCAACTGAGGTACCATCGAAACCAGAGCCTAAGCAATGCACAAGACCAGAACCGGTCCAGTTAGAGAGTCTAGCTAGGTACAAAGAGGAACGGGAAGAAATGGCTGAGAGGATTAAAACAGAGAGAGAAGAATCCCATAAAAGATTCTTGAGAGCAGACTTAGTGATCACAGAGTAAAAGACTGTTCTTTGCTGTTTGTTAATCAGCATATTCAAAGAGACTGCCAATGATTTCTGTGTATTCTCACCTGACTCAGAGACCCGATTCCTGTTCCGGAAGGCAAGACTTTAACCATACAGTAAGCTTATCTGACTCAATCAGTATATTAAAAGGAACTTTTCAATCTCTCAACTAACTTGTTCTATCATCTTTGGTTCCAGATCAAAGAGAAAGAGATGATGAACAAGAGAAACAAAGAAGAGACTGAAGCAGCAAAGATGGTATATTAATAATGCAATAAATCTAATTTACTGCCAAATACATATGTATCTAAGAACAGAGAATGATAATAAGTGTATTTTACCTTCAACTTTGTCAGGTAGAGGAAAAGAGAGAGCTATAAAAGAACTGAGAAGGACAATGGTTCCTCATGCCAGACCACAGCCAAAACTGATTTCTTGTCTTGTCTTTTTTACCTAAACTGAATCAAAAAACCAAGACTCCATGTCAATTAAACACAGGTCAAACAAGGAGACGACAAGACCAAAATCACCAAAGATTAGAGTGATTAGAAGAATAGACAGGAGAACAGTGATGATGGCTTCTCCTGACACGAGGAAATTTAAAATAAGACTAAGTAGCAGCAGAAATTCCGTTTCAAGAACGTTTGAACTGCACCAACTGTGCTCCTTCTCCATTGTAAAATGAGGCAGTAGTAAAATCTTCCTGTGTTCTGAAACTTGGCTATATATAGGACAAGAAAAAGGTTTTCCTTATAAAAATTTGCTCCGAAAATACTAAGCAACGTCTACAATGAATACGCAAAGAAGAAAAGTCTGTCACCAACGAAAAACTTCCTAAAACGAAAAACCAACTGAGATATAAAATCTAGCAAACGGACAAACAAGCCCTGATCCATCTGTTTATATATAATACATTGTTCGCAGCACATCCTTAGGCTCCAAGTATCCTCACTCGATTTGCTTCTTCCGGTAAGCTATGATCTAAAGGCACAATCGAAATAAGGAAAATGTCTCAGAAAGTTAAATCATACTCAGATTATAATGAAAGATATATGGAAAAATTGATTATTTGGCGCTACCAAATGTTGTTCATGGCTTGAAATGAAATCAACTTTGAGCCTTGACAATGTTTCATCATCTTTGAGACTTTGCATCTCATCTTTGGATGCTGCTGCTGAAGCCGAAGTCACTACAGGAAGATTCTCTACTGTCGCATCTACTCCTACTCCTCTTCTTGTTACTAACAATTCAACCTCCTCAGTCTTCAAATGCATCTCACGTGCCATGAACTGTTCAACATTGGAAGTTCACAAATATATTATCACCATGTGATATTGAAATCCATCTTTGTCATATTGAAGAATTTTCGCATCTATATATGTAACAAACCTTCTACATATGTAAAACTAATCACTTTCTACTGTGACAAGTCTGATGTCCAAGAGAGAGAGAGAGGGAAATGAGTACTCACTTCACGGAGCTGTTTTACAAGCAAAGTTGGTCGGCAACAGAGATATGGCTCTGGTAAGTCTGGTATACAGTTTGTATCCAGCGAGACAAGCTTGAGATGAATATCCAACTGCAGAGAAAGAGAGATTAAGTTTAATTACAATCAAAGATAACTGAAATCTGAAACACGGATCATCAAGAAGAAGAGAATCATTGCTTCTTTGCTTTGGTACCTCAACAGTGGATCCATCTATGCTGCTACGTAGATGTTCAACAAGTTTGTTAACACGAGCATTCCTCGCAATCTTAATACTGCCACCTGATGTATTATTCCCATGCCTTGTGTTACTCCTTGTACCGCCTCTTCCCCAAGCCAGTATCTCCGGATTCCACACAAGCCCGGAAGATATTCCTTTGCTGTCTCTATAGACTTCTGTGTCGTTATCTGCGCAGTTACCATTGTTATTGTTAACACCTGAAGAAGAAGGGTGTTGTGTTGAACGACTTGTAGACCGTTTTCTACGCTTTTTCTGTCGGACTTCTGTACCACGCTCATCTGAAGATGAATCTTTGCCTCCTCCGTTATTGTTAGTATCATCATTATTATCATCATCATGAGCTTCTGATGCTTGTTCCATGTTTCTGCAATTCCTTCTCCTTCTGGAGCCACTAGCAATACGCGGTGATCTCATCAAGACTGCTGCCTCTTTACCAAAAGATCGCCTTTTCACAAGAGCCTCAGATTGTCGTTGTGATATTTGAGCTATAGATGCTTGAATCTAGACAAAGGCCATAACAAGGTAAAATATTTTTTTTAAAGAACATAGCTCGAGCAACAGTTGAAAAAAGTAAATAACAACAATATCCACGGCACATATTGCCTCGGATATCAGACCTGCTTATTACGAGCCTTTTCATCTTCGTGAAAAGCCAGTTCCTGAACCCAAAAAAAAAAGAAAGCATTTAAATTTTAACAGCAATCTCTCCGAAGTAAACAAGCACAAAAAATATGTTGATGCTTTACCTCTTCCTCATAACTATCAATATTTGTGAATAAAGCTGCAATAAGAGAATCAAATTTTGGGTCGTCTCTTAGAGAACGCCGGCTTGCACAGTGTTTCCTGCAAGCAGGGCATTCATTGTTCCTGCAATAGCAGTTTCAGTTAATATAAACTAAGAACAAAGCTCTAGAAAACCAATAATGTTGGCTCCCAAGAGACTGATGAACATGTAACTGCAAAGTGGCAGGTATAATTTGAAGCCATACCCCAATCTCATTGACTTATCAATACACTCCCGGCAGAATCGGTGAAGGCATTCCATCACAGTCCTTGTCTTCTTTATGATTCCTGGAAACAGGATTTCAAGAAACTCGTATCAGACAAGTGTAGCATACTGTACTAATGGAGCTTAAAAATAGAGTGTTTAGAAATTGCAGCAGTAGAATAATGAGAAAGATAAGTAAAAAATTTCCCTCAATAGACAACTATAAACATATCTACAAGAATACAATATCAAAATACACAAGAATTTCATGCCGACTGAAGAAAGTAACGGCTCTCGAGATTCCGCAAAAGTTCCAATCCCAAAAAGTATGCTCTAAGATCAACAAAAGTAACCGGCTTGAACTGGAAATATACAGGACAAAGATAAGTACCTAGGCATATTGGACACTGCACATCTTTACGGATTTCTCCAAGACCAATTTCCATAAATCTGCATGAAAAAAATAAATCCAGACACTATTAAACAACAAAGATCCATCAAGCTTCTTTAATTAAATAATCTATCTCAAGAAAAAATCAAAGCTGACTTTAACAGGATCTTCTCGATTGCTATACACTGAAAGAGTTTAAATTAATTGAAAGATGAATCATTCTTAAGATCAACCTCTACAATGGTTACTATAATCAAGCTAGAAACTTTAACATTATATAACCACAAGAGCTGCAAATACAACAGGAATCACAACATGCAAGTGGTAAAAACAATGCATCATCAGATTGGTAAATCAAGCAGAGAGAATTTTAACATGTAATTGGATAGAACTGTTTGCAAAAACCAAGAAATTAAAATGGAGAAGAGAACCAATCACAGCAAAAACACATCTGGCGAAGAGAAGAGAAGAAAGACAGAGAAATGAAACAAAACCATACTCTGGTTGGTCTGCTGACATAGAAGATGGACTTCTTCTTTCCTTAGATTCTGAAAACAAACACAAAAACAGAGGAACCAAAACCAAAATCAAATCACATGAACAAACAAACAAACACACACTCACACGTTTAAGCGTGATTTACGTTTCCACGAGAGTAGTAGACACAATAAAAACACATCCTTTACCTTCTTCCTCATCTTCTTCTTCATCCTCTTCCTCTTCCTCTTCCTCTTCCTCTTCCTCCTCATCCTCTTCCTCTTCTTCTTCTTCCTCCTCTTCTTCTACTTCCTTCTCAGCATCTTCCTCATCATCATCATCTTCTTCCTCCTCTGGTTTCACTTCCTCCTCGGGTTTCACTTCCTCTTCCTCTTTACCCTCACCTTTCTCTTGTAGATCCTGTTCAGCTTCCGGGTTAAATCGGTCGCTTCGTTGGTCTGTCTCATCGGGAATCTCAGCGGACGAGAAGCTATTATTCTCCACAGGCATTGTAAAGGACACACACACACATACACACTGAAGATCTTCTTCTTCAACGAAGCTCTCTCTCTCTCTAAACAAAAAAAAAAGTCTCAACCTTTCTTCCTCTCACTACGTATCTCTTATGGTTTTTATGGGTTCGGTGCCGATATAGACACACCGAAACAATAAGGAGAAATAAATCGAACGAGAACAAAAGGTGAGAATTTTAGCCCCTTTTTCCCATTTTCATCAATTTTTTATTTCTTAATAATTATATAATCAATCCTAATTATAATATTTCTGTAATTCAAGTTTTAAAATTCAACACATAAATTAAATTTCCTTTTTTTCTTTGGGGGTATAAAATATCATATATAATTATATACCATAAATGCAATTGTTAAATTTGACTGAAAAGAGTGTAAAAACATTATGGGTCAAATGGTTTCAATTTATTGGTAAACATCAAAAGTTCAATTAACAATTTATTCAAAATATTATTTGTGGATGATTAGGGTGCTAAATGATCAAAATAAAACATTATGGGTCAAATTTTAAGTTTTGATAGATGAAAGTGGGGGCGTCAAAGTATAAATAACCGTTTTTATAAAAACTTTACTTAAAACCCACTTGATCAAAGAAAAAATACATATTAGCGAAAAAATATATCGCCGTCTGTGGGGATCGAACCCACGGCCACGTGGTTAAAAGCCACGCGCTCTACCACTGAGCTAAGACGGCTATTTGTTTAAAAGTTTCTTTACGTATTATATATCGCTAATTAATTTAAGTGGGCCGCAATAGTAAGGCCCAACTAAAGAATCCTTTTATAGTTTGTAACCAAATCAGTCTGAAGTCTGAACTGTTACTGTACTTGTGTCCAAACAGAGTCTTAAGATTTTGTGTCTCTTTTTAGTCAAACTGATAAGTTTTAGGGTTTCTTCTCAATCTCTCTCTTATAAATACCTCATCTTCCTCCACAACTACTCTATTCATTCGATTTCTTCTTCTTCTCGTTCCTATGTTCTTCGTCTGCATCATATATATACTCTGTTTTAAAAATTCTATTTTGGTGGTGGAGAATATGATGAAAGTTGTCGATTCATGTGTGATGATTCTTAAAGATTCAATTGATCGATAAAATCTTCAATTTCGCTACGTTCTTTCTGATTCTTCATCCATCAGTTTTCATAAGTTTTGTTTTTGTTTTACTACTTCAAATTCATGAATGATATAACATCTTATGGAGAAATATGATGATAACAATCAGTAAATATCTTAGGACACCTTCTGACACAGTTTACTGTGTATGAGAATGATTAGTTAATCTGATTCTCCATCTTGATGTTACCTTGTTTTATCATGAACTGCATAACAAAATTGATAATCATAAAAAAGTAGGAGTGTAAGACATATATATGAATGTAATGTACACATCTCTGTAAATATATGAAGAATGTGTACATACATACATGTATATACACAAAGACCAAACTCATTGATGAGTCTGTATATAAATGTTATACACAATAATCTATAATCACAGAGCTGAGCTTTTTATAAGCCAAACAAATCTTTTTAATCTCTATATTACAAACAATTTTCGTTTCAAAATCTACGAACCAGAAAAAAGACTGTTCTTGTTGATACATGAACAAGAAGAATCAACTGGTCCTCTGTTTTTGTCCTCTGATAAAAGATTCCCAGTAAGACAGATGATTTTAGTTTCTCGATTGTTTTGCTTTCTGTCTGGTGAATTCCTGGAGTTGCCGGTCGTGTTCTTCCAGCATCTGATCCACTTTACTTGGTTGAGCTAGTAATGGACCGGACATGTACATCTTGTTATCCCCAGAAGAATCATACTGAATGTTCACAGAGACAGAGATTAAAGACAATGTAAGAGAAAGAAAGACAGTTTCTAGTCTGTGAAATGTGGAAAAAAGAATCTCGTGAGATCACTTACCCAAGATGGATCATTTGGGATTTTGATTTGCCTGTTACTAGTATCCATGGTGTCAGCTCTGTTGAAAGCTCTCATTTGCTGATCCATCTTTTGTTTATCTGAGCCAACATAACCGCCTTGTCCTGTTGAGTTAGCTCTGTATGAAGGTATTCTAGGGGCTGCATTGTCCTTCATGTATGTTAACCGACTGTGATTCCGGTTTTTCATCATTGGACCCGAGTGAGAGACTCTTCCACTCATTTGGTTGTTGCAGGTCATATCCTGTGTAATCTGCATTTGTCTTTGCGAATTACCCGGAACGCAGCTTCTTAGATATGGATTCTGTATTGGCCAACAAGTTTAGTTAAAGTTAAGATTCTGTTGGATCAGAGGCAACACCGAACCATAGCAGATCGATCCTTTCTATTACCTCCACAGCAGCTGAAAATGATGGATTATTAGCTTTTACCGGCGGGATAAGTTTTCTTTCATGTGATCGTCTAGTCTGAGAGTCTTGTCTTTCATGCTTCTCCTGGGTGCATCTTTGCCTTTTCGCATCATCGCGTAGTTTAGCATCAATCTCTTTGCTGGGTGGATATTTTGGTAGAGAAGATGGATCACAAGCAAATGGCTCTGTTCTAAAATACTGCACCACAAAAACTTAGTGATATCAATTAAAATGCATGAATGATCAGAAAATCAAAATAACATCAAACCTTAAGTTAAACACGCACCTCACTCTCAAGAGCTCTAGCTGCAGAGCCTCTCTTATCGGGATCTATGGATAGTAAAGCCTCCAAAAGCGAAAGAACATTCATTGGCAAGTCCTTAAACATCTCTGCTACACGTCTTCCATATGGAAGCGCAGGTCTAAACGCAGCTGAAGGTGGTAGCTTCAGTTTCCTCCAATAATCTTCTGTAGGCGAACCACATAGCTTGAAGATTTTATGTAGTTGCTCTACCTAGAAAATATTAAATCATAAGTCAGGTTTTAATCTTACGGGAAGATGAGTTCTAGATGTTTTAACGAGTGTATGTACCTCAGTTTTCCCTGCCAGGATCGGTTTCCCGGAATATAATTCACCTAAGATACAGCCTGTGCTCCACAAATCAACCCCAACACCATAATGACAAGCTCCAAGCAGGAGCTCTGGGGGTCGATACCAAAGAGTCACAACACGGCTAGTCAATGGAACGCACTTCTGTGGGTCAAAAAACGTTGCTAACCCGAAATCTGCAATCTTCAAGACTCCATTACTATCAATCAATAGATTTGAGCCCTTGATATCTCGATGCAGAACGCCACGACTGTGACAATGATGAAGTCCGCTTAAAAGTTGTTGCATATAACATTTAACCTAAGCAGCAGAAGAACAAGTTGATTGACCTCTACACAAGTAGATATAATAAGAGAAAGGGTACAAAGCATAGTACAGGGTAACCAACCTGAGGCTCTGAAAACTTGATTCCGGGTATGGAAGCAAGTCCGACGAGATCATGATCCATATACTCGAAAACTAAGTAAAGAGAAGATGAAACAGAGGCAGTGATCAAGCCTTCTAACTTAAGTACATTAGGATGATCAAGCCTTCGCATTACAATGATCTCTCTCGCCATAAACTTAACACTCTCTAAATCGCTAAGATCAAACCGAACTCTTTTAAGTGCAACAATCTTGTTATTAAGAAGATCACGAGCCTTGTATACACTGCTATATGTACCTTGTCCAATCTGCATCCATACAAGTAGCAAGCATTCATGAAACAAGTTTATTTCGTCAAATCAAATCGAATAAAAAAAAGGCTAAAAAAGACACCAGCTTACTTACTTTCTCCAATTTCTCAAAGGTACTAGCACGTCGTGGAGTCCAATTCACAAGTGCCTCACCAGCCACTGAGACTAACCAAGCTGGCCATCCTGCAGCTAATTCAGCCTCCTTTGAAATGGTTTCAACACCGGGACGAATCACAACACTAGGCTCTCTCTTCAATTCCTCAGGAGGATGATCTTCATCTTCATCTTCATCAGTATCACCAATCTCAGAAATCTCTGGATGTTGATTCTCAGAAAACCTACTTGAACTGAACTTCTCAGATTCAATCAACCTAACTTTATTCAAACGATCTTGCTCCTCCTTAGTCTGGCTAGAATCATCAATCCTCGACGAATTGATCCTCGAAGAACGCTTCTCTAATGGTTCTTTCCATGGTGGATTCCTCTTTGGAGACTTCTTCTTAGAGATTATACAACCCATGATAAAGAAGAATCAACAACAACAACAACAACAACAACTCAGAATCTAAATCCCTAATTCATCATCCATAACAAAGACAACAACTTCAATGTCTCAGCAAGACCCAATCTCACCATCCCTGAATACACAAAGCAAAAAAAAACAACACTTTGATATCAAATTCAAACTCAATCAAGAGAAAAACCTAAACCCAACAAAGCTCAAGAACCCAAATTCATACACTGTAGAACCCTAGCTCCTCCATAGCAATAAAGACAACACCTTTTCAATTGCTGGGCAAGACCCAATTCACAAACAGAGCAAAGAAAGCAACGATCTTGATGATAAAAATCCAAACTTTCAAAGACTTTTGAAACAAAGACCAAAACCCAAGAAAGGGGAACTCGAATCAAGTGGTGATTTTGACCTTCTGGGGTAGGAGACAATTCAAGAGCAAGTGATGACTTTTTTTGATGAGGAAGATGAAGAGAGAGAGGTGTACGCAAGAAATATAAAAGCTAAGATTGGATTAGTTTTTTTCTTTGTTTCAGATTGGTATCATTTGACCAAAGAAACACTGCATTGACACAGAGAGAGAGATGTGTATATATACAATGTATACATACATTATGCAAAACACAGCTAACACAGGCGCCTACGTCAACGGAGAGAGAGAGAGAGAGATTTTTCTCTATCACTTATTTATTTTCTTGGCTAAATTAAATTTTTAAATCTTTCTTCTATGGAAAATGAGTTATTACTTCTTCTTTTTTCTCTAAAATTAATTGGTTTCAGTATTATTTATACAATAATATTAAATATGATATTAAATGTTAGTTGAATTATAAAGAGTCAATTTAGTAGATGACCATATGTAGTGACAATTTTTAAGTAAATGTAATAAGACAAAAAACAGATTTAGTAAATGAACATATTCTATAGTTAATTCTAACTTCTAATCTTATCTTTTATTTAAAAAAATTATAGGAATTGAGATTATTTTATCATTTATTAAACAATTAGCTAAATAGTTAATTCTTTTATCATAACATGTTTTTATAAATGATAAGATAATAAGTTAGAACTATGAAATGATCATTTACTAAATTTATTTTTAGTCTTATGAAATTTATTAAAAATTGTCACTAGATATGGTCATCTACTAAATTTTTAGAATATAGGGTTAGTTTTTGTTAGAGTGTTGATATACATGATCAATTAAAGGAGTTTGACAAAAAAAAATAAGGCTTTCTTGAAAACAACTAAAGGAAAAGTAAAATATTTATTCAAATGTGTTTTAGAAATTATCAAGCTATTCCTATAATTGCTTGTGGGTTTATCATTGATCATCTCACCTAACTAGTGTTATAGATATAACTTTAGTTATGTCTAGCAGCTTAGGATTCTTGAAATGTCAACTAGGGTTTGAAAAGCCGGTGGCTCGATATTGAACACAAGTTGTGTTATCATGGAATGAGTAAAAATTATAACTCGTAGCAAAGTCGCAATCGTACAAAAGGTTTGTTGAAGTTAAAATGGATATCATCACTAAGGTTTGTGAATCCCATGACCATGAAGGAACGAAGAGTTAATAATTGAGCTATGAAGAGAACCTCAATGGACAACTCTTTCAACTATATAGTGTTAGAATCGTATTTGAACCATAATATGTAGTTTGACTATAGATTCTATTAAATTAATAAAGAGGAAAGTTTGACCACTACTATATAAAGGTAACGACGTTGCCTTTCCAATTTGATGATTGTTTAGCTCGTATCACAAAGTAGAAATTTTCACATTTCCTTTTTGGGTGCTTCTCAGCTAACCTATGTTGCGTAAAAATAGAAACGAAAACATAGAAGCAAAAAAAAATTGGAAGCAGAAAATGGATTTTTTTTTTCTAAGAAAATTAAGGAATAAAATTGTTTTGGAATCACATATAGACATCTTCTTATATAAATTTTGATTTTCAAAGTCAGTCATTAATAATATCGTGTGACACATGTCAAATATATTAACTATATGCTGATATGTGTAAAAAAAAAATATTCGTGTTTCCAAAATTATTATAAACAAAACGAAATTTGTAGAGAGTTTTCATGCAGCATAGCTTTTTAACTAATTTTACATATATATTGATTAATAAACTTTGGTTTTGTCCAAAAAAAAATTAATAAACTTTGATATTTTTTTGCTAAAAATTTTAATTGTATCATCAATACAAAAAGGTTTGGCTGTTACAAAGAAACCCCTTTGGTCTTTGAAACCTTTGCAAAAAATATTAAAAACAAGATTGGGAAGTCACTTAATGTGACTTTGATTTACATGTTGAAAAATAAAATAAAAAAGAGATAAAAAGGCAACTGAGAAACTCAAGTGCCTTTATTTATTAAAACATAAATTATACGGCAAACTCGATTGGTTATATATTAATCATCTTGAATTTTCAAAACTGACGACTTCATTCTATATGAAGTCTTGATTTATTATTAATTTGACGGTTCGTTGATAACGTTACGCTTCAACGGTGCTTGCTCCTGCTCTCGTTGCTGTACATCCTGTTATGCAGCAAGCAACAACAACAACTAGAAACTATAAACTTTGTAATCAAATAAAATTGAGATCCAACTTATATAATATAAGGTTGATATAATCATTTTCACCAGTCATAAACCGTGGGAGAATTAGGATGAGAGGGTTTGTCAAAGACATTAGCACCAATCTCCCTTGTGGTCACATTACTTGCCGGATGAAACACACTCCTCCACACATCAGTTTTCCGACCGGATCCTGGTGTCACCGGCGTAGCCGGACTCGCCGGAAGAGATACCGATCCGGCCACATTTTCTAAACCCACCACATATGTAACATTCCGATTAGAACAATAATATAGATTTAAATGTTTGTAGTAACAACTAGAAAGAATATTATATGATTAACTAATTAACATTTCCAAAATTAATATTCAAGAAAGATTAGTGGAACCAAACTATTACTTATATTATCTTAACATTCATGTTTTCTACGTACTAATCCCTAATGCTTAATTACTTTTACTTAAAATATTTTTAATTCACCTGTGGTATTGTTAAGGCTAGTTAACCCGGTGGAGATTCGCCGGAGATGGCCACGGCCACCGGCTTCAGGTCGAGGACCAGCAACAACGTCGTCCCATAGGTTTTCGAGTACACCCATTTTTGTTCTTTTTGCTTAGAGATAATCTTCTTTTCATGTCACTCCTTTAAATACGTGATTATGTGGGAGCTGGTCTCTTGCAACTATTTGTCCGTGTCCTTTGGAGATAAATTTGAAACTTCTAAGTTTAGTAAAATTAGATTTCACTTTCAGTTCTCTTATCTATAAACAATATTTGTATACACATTAACTAAAGGATGGCTTATTTAATCGTTAGTGTTTGTTCATCGTAAAACTTATGTTAATTGTACTTGTGCTAGTAGCCTAGTACTAGTAGTAGCAGCGAACTAACCGGTTACAATTGTACTACAATTGAACCATATTAAACCGGGAATTGAGTTGAGCTGGTTTATACGAACCGGAACAAAATTAGCTTTTAACGTTTAAGTATAAAACGAAAAGAGAGATATTACCAATTCTCGAACAGATAAAGTGGTGGTGACTCAGCATGATTTAGAGTCTCACCCTGAAGGAGAAGGAAACTGAATTGTTTGGCTTCTCACCTCCTGAGGATGCCTCTGGTGGAACTCGAGTTTGATCTACCTTTGGTCGGACAGAGAGATCTCGCCTATAAAGAGAATTGTCTAATCCTCATTGGAGTAAATCGAATCGGGACTGACTGATGAGAGTTTAAGCGTAAGCTGCATCTAGTCTATAGTCCCGATTAACGGCTGTCGTCAGGATGTTGTGTCTATCACTAAAGAATCATGCCTTTGGTGGTAGCAAAATTAGAGGTAATCTAAATTACCTCTCTTTTTGTCTTCTTCTTCTTTAGTTCAGAGCTGTAGGTAGAACGATTTCAAAGCTGATACCTTCTCTTGGGGTTAGGGTTAGGGTTTTGCCTCGTGAAGATGCCAGAGGCCAAAATTGAACGAGGAGACAACTGGAGTACGTGGGCATGATTAGTGTGTTGCCATAAGATTTCCCCATATTCTCCTGATCTCAAGTTTTCTTACAAATCATTAAACACAAAATAAAGCAGAGGAAACAGAGTTTTACAGAACCAATTAGCACTTGAAGGCTGTTTTACCTAAATTACTTCTTTTTCGATTTCCTTGAAACCTTCTCATAGGGTTAGGGTTAGGGTTTTGCCTTGTGAAGAGCCAAAATCGAAGAGATAACTGATGTTCACTGAGAGTTGCTGTAAGATTAATTTTGTTATGTTCATATTGTGTCTTTTCCGGACAAAAGATGCAATGGCCACCATATGTTTCTATCGGAACGATGGCTCTCTATTTACCCGATGGTACTTACACTTGAGTGTAAAGACAGCTGAGAATGATGATGATGAAGACGAAGATGAAGATGAAGCTAATCTTCTCTTTCACATCATACGATTTGTTCTCAGCCAACTCTTTTGTCTCGATGGCCTCTAAGCTTTTTCTTTACCGGCTTTTTGTAGTGAATCATGCATAAGCCAAATGCAAAAGTTGAGTCTCTTGCTTTCTCTGTATCATATCTTCCATGAAAATCCAAAAAAAACAAAAGTATTGATCAATCATCCTAACTTCACCTGATTTCTTGTCATCTACGTTAACCTAATTATACCATTTTCTTTTTTGAAACAACAAGCTTCTCAAACTTATCTAGAGTCTTCTGTAAATCTTATATCAAAGTAAAAAATTAAATCCCCTTGATCAGCCGACTTGCTGTCACACATCTTAGATATAATAAGTTAAAACTTTTTTATCATTATCATAAAATTTTATATTCCAATAATGAGAAGCAGAAGTAAACAGAGTTTTACAGAACCCTTAGCACTAGGAGAACTGGTCATCTCAAAGGTCAAAATTTATGGTTCGTTAACCGTATTAAACCGGAAATTGAGTCGAATTTAAAAAACCATATTTGTTATAAACGTGTATAAGTATTAAAAAGATTGAGATAAGGTTACCACTTCTCGAACAGTCAAAGTGGTTGTGACTCAGCATGATTGAAGTGTCTCACCATTGTTCGAGTACCCAAAATTGGTACCCCTGAAAGAGTAGGAAACACTCTTTGGAAATGACGAAAGACTTGTATAGTCGACAGATGAGTTCTCTGTTCTCAGTCTGCGTCGATCTGGTCTTGGCAGATTGGAGTTTAGACGTAAGCTCCGTCTGGTTCCCTGTGCTTTCCCTCTAGTGTAGAGGCAGAAGAGTTTAGACCTAAGCTCCTCTGTTTCCCTGAGCGCTCTTCCTAAGGATTTGCACAGGTGTGGGGTTTGTGTCTATCACAGAGAATCATGCCTTCTGGAGATAGCGAATTGAGGTAATCTTAATTACCTCTTTTTGTTTTTTTAATATCCTTATTGTTGATTTCGACTTTGTACTTTGTAGTATGAGATTGTGATATATGAGTGCTAGATTCATGGTTCCCTAGAGATTTCTTCTTCTTGCTAAGCTCTAGCACTTTTGAGATTCAGATCCTTGTTTCATCAACATTGGTTCGATTTATCCAGTTGATTATTCATATCTTGTTTATGATTGTTGTTTTATCATTATAGGTTGGTTCATTTGATTATAATGTTTTGATTTGGGTTTTATCAAATATATCATACTTACACTTGAGTACAAAGACGGTGAACTTTATCTTTGTCTACTCTTTACTTTTACATACCATCAACCTCACAACCAAAAGAGTCTCTCTATTAAAACCTTTTAATACCAAAGTTTTTGAAACCGAGCTTATTAAACATACAAAGATAATGGTGGGCTACTGAAAGTTAGGGTTAGGGTTAGGGTTTTTCCTTGTGAAGAGCCGAAATTGAAGAGACAACTTGCGAGGACATATATGGTCACTGAGAGTTGCTGTAAGATTAATTTTGTTATGATCATATTGTGTCTTGTCCCGACAAAAGACGCAATGGCCACCATATGTTACTATCGGAACGATGGCTCTCTATTTACTCGATAGTACTTACACTTGAGTGTAAAGACAGCTGAGAATGATGATGATTAAGACGAAGATGAAGATGAAGCTAAGATCTTCTCTTTCACATCATAACGATATCTCCTCAGCCAACTCTTTCAACTCGATGACCTCTAAGCTTTTTCTTTACCGGCTTTTTGTAGTGTGATTCTTCTCTCCATTTTTTTTCTCTAACTTCAACTGATTTCTTGTCATCTACGTTAACCTAATTATACCATTTTTTTAAAAAAACAACAAGCTTCTCAAACTTATCTAGAGTCTTCTGTAAATCTTATATCATAGTAAATAATAATATCCCCTTGATCATTCGACTTACTGTCACAATGAGAAGCAGAAGAAAACAGAGTCTTACAGAACCCTTATGGTCGTCTCACGGGTCAAAATTTATGGTTCGTGAACCGTATTAAACCGGAAATCGAATCGAATTTTAAAACTTATTTGTTACAAACGTGTATAAGTATTAAAAAGATTGAGATAAGGTCACCAATTCTCGAACAGTCAAAGTGGTTGTGACTTAGCATGTTTGAAGTGTCTCACCATGGTTCGAGTACCCAAATTGGTACCCTAAAAGAGAAGTATTCTCTCGCTTTGGAATATAACGAAAGAACTTTGTATAGGCGACAGATGAGTTAACACGACGACGGTTGTGCTCAGTCTGCGTCGATCTGGTCTTGTCAGATTTGAGCTTAGACGTAAGCTCCGTCTTGTTCCCTGTGCTCTTCCCTCTAGCGAATGAGGACAGGCAGATTGGGGTTTAGACGTAAGCTCCGTCTGGTTCCCTGACGACGCTCTTCCTAAGGATTTGCACAGTTGCGGTCTATCACAGAGAAACATGCTTCTGGAGATAGCGAATTGAGGTAATCAACTCTTTTTTTTTTAGTACACAAAGAAGGTGACAATGATGTTATAAGGATGAAGAAGATGATGATGGTTATGATGCTTTAGTGTTTACTTTCTCAAATTCTAAGTTCTTTCTCTCCAGTGCAACTACTAACAATGGTCAATGGTTGTGTTAGAGGTAAGTGAGGTTTAACGTTCACCTCTAACACACTTGTTAACTTAATCTGCTTTAGAACTTTATCTTTGTCTACTCTATACTTTTTACATATCAACCTCAAAACCAAAAGAGTCTCTCTATCAAACCCTTTTAATACCAAAGTTTTTGAAACAGAGCTTATTCAACATACAAAAGATAATAAACACTACTTATAAGATTAACAAAAAGAGAAAAAAACATAATAGTGAATTTAGAACCTCTTGATATCATCATCCTTATTCCGATTCTGATTCGCCTTTTTCGACAAATCATCCAAGCCCTTATCAACATCATCCCTAGCCTTATCTGCATCCTCACCAGACCCAACCACAGCTTCTGACACCTTCTGAGCCGTGCTCTTAGCCGTCTCCCACACTTCTTTCACAGTTTCCTTAGTCTTCTCTCCAATATCTTGAGCCTTTTCCTTTAAACCATGTGCCATATCATCTGCCCTCTCCTTTGAGTCCTCAGCATAGTCCTTGGCTCTCTCTTTTGTCTCGTAGGCTTTATCAGATGCTTTGCTTGCTCCTTCATTCACCTTATCCTTGGCTTCTTTTGCGTAATCTTTTGTCTTCTCTTTCACATCATAGGCTTTCTCCTTAGCTTTCTCTTTTGTCTCATAGGCTTTATCAGCTGCTCTACTCGCTCCTTCATTTACTTTATCCTTAGCCTCTTCCGCGTAATCTTTAGTCTTTTCTTTCATATCATAAGCTTTGTTCTTAGCTTTCTCCTTCGTCTCGTAGGCTTTATCAGCTGCTCTACTCGCTCCTTCATTCACTCTATCTTTAGTCTCTTCCGCATAATCTTTACTCTTTTCTTTCATATCATAAGCTTTATCCTTAGCTTTCTCCTTCGTCTCGTAGGCTTTATCAGCTGCTCTGCTCGCACCTTGGTTCACTTTATCCTTCGTTTGTTCTGCATAATCTCTCGTCTTCCCGTTCATATCATTAGCTTTGTCCTTACCAGCTTCAGCGTATTCTCCTGATTCTTCTCTCCATTTCTTTGACTCATACGCCAAATCAGCTCTCGAGTCTCTTGCTTTCTCAACCGGATCATATCTACCCTGGAAACCCAAACAAATAAAGCATTAATCAACCTTAACAATTCGTAACTTCAGCTAATATCTTGTTAACCACGGTAACTTAACTATACCAACTTCTTGAAACAATAAGCCCACTTAGGATTTAGGATTAATGAACTAGTTAATTACCTTAGAATGGTTAACCGACGAGGCGAAAAAGACATGAGATGTTTTCCGACCAATCACCACCGCAAGAGTTCTCGGAGTTCGGCTTATAGGGAAAGCCTTTGAGAGACCGAAAAAAGCAGTTCTCGTTAGTTGCATAGCCGCCATGTTCATCAATCGAAAGAAACAATTTCTTCTTCTTCTTCTTCGTAGTACTTTAGCTTTATCGAATGTTGTTGTCTGAATATTTTTCTTTCAATCTGTATTCTCTCTTCTTAATATTATCTTATGTTGCTAACTTATAGAAACCATTTTAGGACAGCTGGTGGTACGAATTTGACACGTGTTGGTGTCGTGACACGTGTTTAGCAAGTGATAACTAATTTAACTATGGAGCGACGGTGCAATGAAATTTTAAGATCGATGGCTGTTGGCAAATTCGAATGTTTTTATGAATTTTTTTTAAATTAACAGATTTATTGATTTAATGTTGAATCAGACTTGAAAGTTGAAACCATATTTTACTTCATAAGTTCTCCAAGTAACAACATTAGCACTAACAAAGCATTTATATGGAGATTCACTTTTTGTTCTCTGTCCACAGATTAAGAAATATAATAAACTAACAATGAGAAATATTAGGATGACCAAGCACAATTATGCATTTGCTTCACTTAAGAAATTAAAAAACCAACTTTGGAGTATATAAAAAACAGAATATTAAAAAAAAAAAATGTAGAATGCTTAACTTACATCCCAAGTAATTAAAATGAACCAAAATTTCTGTTTAGAAGAAAAAAATGTAAAACAACGACCCTGATGAGATATTCAATCTTGTCAAGCTTTATTGGTTAATTTGAGAGTTGCATCTCCATAAATTTGTAAGACATGTATTTATGTCTAGGTTTTGAACAAAAGCTGAGATGTTTTTGAAACCCTAGGAATAGCTTTCAACTCCTCCATCATTGTGGCTTTGTCTTCAAGTTCGAACTTTGGCAATGATCTAAAGGAGATTGTTGCGGTTTTCAAACATTTAGAAGTACTTAGGATGTATTCCACCAATTCTTTCTCTTCTTCTCTTCCCGTATAGTTTCTCAACCTAAGATACTTCAACACTGATGACAAGCATTCCGGATCAGATCTCGATTCGCTCCACGAAGTAGATGCATTGCGCGGTTCATCGGTTAAATTCTGAGACACAACAATTGCTAATTAGTTAGTCATAACGACACATTCAACTTGGCTTATATTACTTAGTTTGGAGGATACGTACACGTACATAACAAACTATAAGAGACGTTAGTTTCGGAGTATTGTGAAGGAAACACAAAAGTGAATCCATCCAGTCTGAGGCATACGGATGTATCTTACACTTTCTCAGTCGAGAAAATTTGATTGTTCTCCAAGACATCATCTGCATGCAATGGTGAACAAATCAATCATAAGTAGATGCAAAAAATATGTGATCACAAACGGGAGAAAGTGAGAGATAGAGTTACCATTGCGTCGGTCAGGGCCAGCTCAAGAAACAAGAGTCTTGAAAAAGACTTTAAGAACTTGTCGATGTCAGGGAAAGACTGAATAACATTATCAAAATCAATACTAACTTCGTCGAAACAAGGCGCATTCTCAATGAAGCAAGAGTCTCCTGAATAATCAGTGTAATAAAACTCGTTTAATACAGGAGTATCAACAACCAAGCACCCGCCTGCAGTACTACTATCATCGCGAGATGGGTAGTTGTTAGTATAAATCAACTCCAACAAAGAAGGAACTTTCACAGTGAACTTTCTCACATTGTCAACTTTGTTCCGGTTCACCAACAGATTCATGAGAACAGGGCAGCTTGATAACAACCTAATGAGAGAATCCTCATTTTTATAAACCACTAGGCTTAGGTTGAGAATTTCAAGTAATGGGAGGCAGGCCGTGGAGGGAACATCCACGAGAATCTTGTCGCAGAGAGTCAGTACCTTGAGAGACACACAAGAGTAAAGTGTCATGGGCAAGCTAGTTGGCTCTCCTGACAAGAGAAGACAAAGGTTTAGAACAATCACGCCGCGATCAACAGCCTTTGCTACATACTTTCCGACATCAGCATCACTCGGACATCGTGGACCGAGTTCTATTGAAAACAATTGTAAGACTGGTGCTTTGTTGAGTTGCAATGACTTTTCAAGAAAAAACCAAACGCTCTTCTTGCTCTCATCATCATTGTTTTCTTCGTAGTCAAGTGCATGCATCATCGTCCATGTATAAAGCCATCGTTTAGACAAAAACATTGTGGCTACTGCATCTTTAATCGGGAGACGTATCAGAATGCTCAGAAGTAAATCGTCGGGTAAAGCACTGATCATGTCTTCTTCACAACCTATCTCTTCAATTCTCTCACCACAATTTCCGACAGTTTCTGGCATCTTCACAGAGACAAAACCCTAAGACAGCGTACGTAAAAGACTTTGTGAAAATCTCTTTCTTCTTCTTTTGGTTATTATTTCCTCAGTAGCGTTTATTTTGATTCATCGTATTACATGTTCTATAAATATGCAGCACATAATTGATAAAATATGTATTATACTAGTTTGATTAGGATTAGGAATTTCTAGGGGGTTTGACCTTTTTTAGTTGATTTTCTTAAATAATAATTTAATAAAATAATTTGTGATAAATACCAAAAAAAAAATTACGAATTGCTAGTTATATTATATTCTGGATAATATTTACAAACTCTAATACTAAAAATAATTATGGTTTATATATTTAGAATCATAAGTTTCTTAAACTTAATTAGTCATCTAGCTTCATAGTTTCTTATAGTTGATATCTATATATATAAAGTTAGCTTTTTCTCTCTTCCACCTAAGCATCCACCTAAGCCACATTTTTTTTTACATTAAAATAATTTAAAACATTCATTTAGTGCATATTTATGCTACTTATTTAATTAATAGAAAATTTATATAAATAAAAATAAATTATGTAAATAATCTATATATATAAAGTTAGCTTTTTCTCTCTTCTCATGATGCCACCTAAGCATCCACCTAAGCCACATTTTTGTTTAAACATTAAAATAAATTTAAAACATTCATTTAGTGCATATTTATGCTACTTATTTAATT